GGACAGGTGAACAATCTTATAGATTTCATTTGAAATTTCCAAAACATTGCTATATCTACTTAATTATATACAGTGGAAGGGTGAATAGATGGGGTTAATACAAAAGGGGATGTGACCCAATAACCCACTCTCTCTGGTATACATAACATGGTTAATGCTTTCATCAGATTTAATCCTCATGAAATAATCTTATTATGTGGGGTTCATAGCAATTATTGAGGGCAGGCTTTTAGGCACAATAAAATGTCAGCTCACGTGCCCAATGTAAAAAGCCTGAGCCTTCTAAAATTCCACTGTTACTAAAAGACTTTATTTCTAAACATAGTGCTGAGAATATGAGCTGGGAGGGTTTTCCTCCTGGCTGTGTGTGTGCATGCATAGTGTGGTGGGGACAACAGGACAAGGCCTCCTTGCTATCCTCATGATTATGCAAACTCCATGTCATGTGAAAGAGGAAATCACATATAAGTCACTGAGTCTTACTCTCTTTTACAGGTGAGTAAGAATCTACTCGTGGAATGAAAGGAAAGAGGTTGGTATTCATTCCTAATTTAGAACAAATGGATGTATTTCCACTTTTTATTGCATATTTGTAGATTATTGCAAATTAAATTAACTGGAATTAAAAATGTTTGGAAAAAATATGTTTGTAATGATCTGTTATTTTTCTTATTAGTCTTAAAGCATTATTATCTTCATGATCACATAAATCCCTTTTATTATAAAGTATTTCAAATGTAGAGCTTAATGATTTATTTAAAGCAAATACATGAAACCACCCCACCCAGGTCAAGTAATAACAGCCCATACTTTCCCATGTGTCACTTCCCAACCTCTGTCCCCTATAAAAAGTAGCCAATGCCTTCGTTGTTACTGTAAGAATTTCCTTTTTTATTATTTTTTTGTCTACATATGTACTCCTAAAATTGTGATTTGGATTTTCCTATTTTTGAATTTTATATGACTAGAATCATCCAGTGTTTGTTCTTTTCTGTTTATTTTACTCAATATTGTGTCTGTATGCTTCATTCACGTTGCTGCACAGACTTATAATTGATTGTTTTCCTTTTTTTTGCAGTAATCTGGTGTGTGAATATTCTATAATTTATTTTCCAGTTGGCTACTAATAGACATATGAGTTGTTTCTAGTGTCTGACTATTATGAATATCACTGATTTAAATACTATTTAACTTATCTCCTGCTACAAGTAGATTCAACTATTTCAGGAATGTATCTAGAGGTAGAAGTTTTGGATCATTGTTTTCTAAAAAATCGGTTATGCCAACCTCAGCTTCCCCTTGGAGATACAGGACTGGAAAGAGTGTCACTCCCAACCTTACAATAATAAAAGACTGGACAAACTGCAAAGTAATGGCTTTTATTAAAACCATCAGTTCTCTGATTGGGCAAACACTGGACAAACAACTAACCCAGTATCTGGGAAGAGACAGGTACCTGCAGGAAGACACAGGACAAGAGCTTTGCTTATACAAGGCAGACACTTCTGGACACCACGTAAGCTGGTAAGATTTACTAACATTTTTTTTTATCATATTGCTAAAGCCCGAGTATTGAGCTAGCATAAAAGTGCAAAGAGCCTCTTTGGTTCAGTTTGCTTTAGTACTGTTTCTTATATACAGCAGAGTGTTAGAGTTTGCTTGTTAGCCAATCTGAAAAAATATTAGAGAGTTAAGCCACGTCAGAGAATTAAACCTTCTTATATTTATCGATAGTACCAATATGTTCTGTAGAAGTTCTCCTACACTGTTCTATAATCACATATAAATCAATATGCATGTATCTATATACATGCAAAAGTATAAACACATACACATATCCCCACTTTGTGGTTGGTTCTATTTATTGTTATATTTGTGATATAGGAAAGTTTTATACAATTCTAAAACATACATCAATTATGTGATATTTTATCACACCGACACCCTTCATGTAGCCTTAGTTCTAGAGGTACATATATTCAATGCTCATCATTTGTTCCTATGTAGAAACTCTGGCAATCATTTTTCAGTTGATCTGCATTTTTTTTTATTTATAATTCCTTAGGAAGGGCTAAATGGGAACAATATTCCCTGAGTTCTTATGTGTTCATGACTCTGTAACTTTTAACCTTGAAGGTCATTTTGGCTGGAAGTAAAAACCTTGTGTGCATTTTTCTTTTATTGAGTATCTTAAATATATTACATGCCCTCCTAGCACAAAACTTTCTTGTGGCAAAGTCTGCACTCAATCTTATTTTCTTTCCATTACAAATGATTTGTCTTTCTGTCTACATATCTAAATGTCCCTTCCCCACTTTATTATCAAAGTTGCAATAGTTATATTAGAATATTCCTTGGTGTTAATGATTAGGGGGTTCAATTTTTTTCAGGTGTGTTCGCTGCCATTTCAGTAACTAGGTTTGTCTTCTTTTAGTTCGGGAAATTTTCTTGAATGATAGTTTTTAGCATTTCTCCTATTCTATGGGTTTACTTTTCTTCACGAACTACTTTCACAGTTGTTTTGGATTGTCATTGCCTTGCTTCTCCCAAACTTTCTCTGAAATGTTTATCTGTCTTTCTGTTTGATGTTTTTTTATTGTCCTCCTTTCCAATCTCTTGATAGGTATGTATCTCTGAGATGTTTAAAAAAATTCTCTCCAGTGCCGTTGGCTGTCTTTGTATATCCCTCTGTTGTCTAGTCATCTAATTTCTTAGCCCTTCCACCTGTGATGGTTTTTCTTTCAGCATCCCGTTTGTAATTTGTTAAGCCTCGTAATGAAACGTAATAGTTTTCATCTGTTTTATGGCATTATCTATCTGCTGTGCTTTCATTGTCTGTTAGGTTTTTTTCTTACCCTCTTTTACTTATATTTTTCTATGGGGGTTCAATTATCATCTTTTCAGTTGTTCATGTTTAAGTGAGATGAATTTTCTTATAGTTTTGGAAAGAGTTTCCAATGTAGGAGGTGGGGTGGGACAAAATAATTTCCTTAGCTTTGCAGCCATAGAGTTCCTTCCCCCTGAGTCTTCTGGGATGTATTAAATAATATGGCTCTCAGCGTACACGCTCCTTTGGTACATTATGACATCTGCTTTCTGTGGTTCTGTCTCCACTCCAAACCTAAATTAGGGATACTTTCCTCTAGAGAGGATCTGTACTTGCTTCTGCTTGGAGTTAGAGGATGCTACTGACTACCCACTTTAGTCCACTCTGAAAGTTCTTCCTTTATGTGGAGGTCTCAGCATGAGTTGTCCAACCCTGCAGAGGGTCCAGAGCTTCATCTCTGATCCCAGAGCTGACAATGTCATTTATCCTAGGATTTGCATTTTCTTACTGCTCACTCTCATGTTTCAGCTGTTTCTTTTATTTTTTTCTTCTTTTCATTAATCTTTCCTTTTTTTTTTGGTTATTAAAGAATTTTCTCACTTTCATTTCTGAGCCAATTATTGCACTAAAAATATTTTTGCTTCCATTTTAGTTTTGCTTTACCAAGAGTGCTTTTCAGAGATACAATCTTCTATACTGCAGAAATGGAATCATCTTGTGATTTTTACAAAAAAGAATATATGGTCACTTAAATTTCCTTGAGATTTTGTAGAAGCGTCTACCCTAAATATTCTCTGATCCTTGTGAGAAGCTCATCAGAAGTATATATTCTAACTGCCTTTTGCTGGTAATATTATTTCTTCTTTTAAAAATTAATACTTATATATAGATTCTATGTCAGTTCCTTTTTTATTCTGTGATATTCGAATAGCTATTTGCTCAGGAATAATGGAATGAAGGACTGGGTAACAACCATCTTTATAGTTAAGAATGTGTCTCAACCCCACATTCCATTAAGGCACTTGTGTCCACATCTTTGAGGACAGATCAGTGTTTAGTGTCCCTCCTTCGGGTAGAGCAAGTTGCTAGGACAGCTCACCGTAAATGAGGTTTTCTCAGCGTCTCTTTGTGGCAATTTAGTCACCGCGTCAAAAAGAATTCTGATACAATAAGTACTCGAACATATTTGCCAAATGAATGCATAAGCAAATATTCAACTTCCTAGGGAAATATCCATCTGCATGTGTCATAGGCACATCATAATCACCGTGACCAGCACTGAGGTGATTATCTTTTCCACATATCCTGTTCTCCACATCTTCTTGACTATCTATTTCTTACCTATTTTCTGATCTCCATTCTTACCATGTAATCAGTTATGCTATTTTCCATTGCCTAGATGATAAAATTCCAACTCCTTAGCCTAAACACAGCAGGAACTTCTGTGATATTTTGTACAGCCTAACAAAGTGGAAATTATGTTGTAAAACCACAATTATTAAAAGCCTTGCCATACCCATGCTCTACATTTGGGAGAGAGAGGTAAGGGACAGAAAGAAACAGTTGCTTTCTCTTGTACTGTGCCACGTAGGCAGGGATGTGCTTAGTGAATTTAGTGTGGACAAACAGAACTACTCTTGAAAGGAGAGGAAGAAGGTTAGTGGTTCTTGCTTGCATTTCAAAATCATAACTTGGATGAGACAGCAAAAGACCAGAGCTACATTTTTAGTACAAGTAAAAGAAATCTTAAGACATTTCGTGGATTATTTTATGGACTGATTTTTTAACCCTTCCCCCCACCTCCAATTTATATGTTAAAGCTCTAACCTCCAGTGCCACTGTATTTGGAGATAGGACCTTTAAGGAGGTTAATTAAGTTTAAATGAGGTCATAAGGGTGGAGCCCTGATCCACTATGACTGATTTGCTTATAAGAAAAGGAAGAGACACCAGAGATGTACCCACACAGGGGAAAAGCCCCGTGAGAACATGGTGAGAAGGCTGCTGTCTGCAAGCTGTCTCCCAGCCAGGGCCACTGTCTGCATGGAGTTTGCACATTCTCCCTAGGCCTATGTGGGTTTTCTCTGGGTACTCTGGCTTCCCGCCACATCCCAGAGATGTGCACATTAGGTTAATCAGCAAGTCTATATTGTCCCAGGATGAGTGAGAGAGACAGAGAGAGAGAGAGAGAGAGAGAGAGAGAGAGAGAGAGAGAGAGAGAGAGAGAGAGTGTGTGTGTGTGTGTGTGTGTGTGTGTGTGTGGACACTATGCTGGAATGGTGTCCTGTCTAGGGTGGGTTCCTGCCTTGAGCCCTGAGCTGATGGCATAGGCTCTAGCCACCAAGACCCTGAAAATAAATGAATGAATAAATACAGATTATTGTGAAATAAAAATTTGTAAAGTCTGTGATAATTACACAGATGCAAGACAATGCAATATGAAAAAACTCAGCGAGGCCACTTTATTTGTGATTGTTTTTGAACCGTGGGGTGGTAGGAAGTGCTCCTGTTTGCTTTACAAACATTTATTGCTGGATTTGACCCACCACCACTAGCACTGCTGTCACCCAAAGTTGGGTAAATAATATCTTGTTTTTATTAATCTTTCTGAAATGTACATGTAGCTCACATTTATTTCAATGTTTAATACTAGAAGCCTTTTGGTCTTTAGAAGTTTGATGATGTTTCTATGGCCAAAAATATGCCACAGGAACTTAACTCTTGTTTATATCAAGTAGCTTAAGGTAAAACTGGTTTCGTTATACATTGTTTGGCTTAAAGTCACAGTTTCCAAGAACTTTTCAATGACGTTAAGTAAGGATTTACTGCATGCTCAAATTTATAATTCTAACTTTTATAACTTGACATAATAAGTTATATAGATAGCCCAAATCTACAACTGCCTGACTAGCTGATACAAGAGACTGGTGAGTACTGTTTTTTGTCAAAACTTCTTAGCATAACCAGATACAAGTTGATAGGAACAAACATCCCTAAAGGAACCCATTACGGAAGATCAAAAAATTATTAGTAACTCACAGGAAACAGTTATTGGAGATATACAACATATGGATGGTAAGAACAACAAATATGATTTTACACATCATATTTAACATCATATTTAACAAAGTTAGTCCAACCTAATTTACCTGGGAAAACCTTGGCAATAAGTGTTTTAAAACCTTCTATTATATTCTCAACTGCATCAGTTCTGAACTTGACTTTCAGAATATAAATGTTGCCGAACTTGTTCTTGAGATATTGAGGGCTACCCAGGCACACAAACTTTCCCTGTACCATAATGGCCAGCCTGGTACAGAGGACATCACATTCCTCCATACTAGAAAAACAAGATACCAGAATGATACAAGGCTAAAAATATCTTTATTTGAGAATATTCTGCAATTCCAACATCCAATATTTTGTGACTGTCTTTGAAAATGGGAAGATGCATTTGCCCATCATTAAGACCATGGGAAATAGAGATATTTTCAAACAGTAGTAGAGGACCAAATCCTCAAATAGGAAGTTCCTGAACTTCCTACCTTTTTCCTATTCTTGATAGTTTAACTCAATGAGGATTCTTGGCCATTCCAATCATTAGGATTAATAAAGAGCTCACATACTCAGGAAAATATACTGTCCAATATTGCTGGCCCCAAATAATTTCCTCCTGTGGCCACTACAACTCCTGCCAACCCTCAACCAAATTTCCCAATGAGCCACACCTGTGGGAGTTTATGACGATGGCTTTGCCACTTTTACGTGCCTGTGTCACTGTGTTCCAGAGCAGGCGCCGGCCTATTGGGTCCATGGCAGTTGATGGCTCATCCAAGAAGACAACTGAGGGCTTTCCCATTAGGACAACAGCAGTACACAGCCTACGTTTGTTTCCTCCACTTCATGGTCAAGGAAGGAGAGAGAATGTGGAATAAGTATATATGGATATATAATACAGTTAATTTAATATATAATACATCTATTTAATACACATCTGTTATTTACAGGGAACAATTTGCCAAGTTTCCAAAATGCTGAGTCACAGGAAACAGTAAAGACATTAAAAATGCTAATTATGTGTGACTCTACCACATAAGACCCAAATCCAGATGTATAAATCAATTCATTTTCATTTGAAATGTAGGAAGATGACTTTTGTTTACATAATTGATTTTAGCCACATTATCAGTGAAATTTATATTCTTATTCTTGGGGTTTCTTAGAATTCCCAGATATATATATAGTACATGGCAGTCAGGCCAATATAATGAACCTCACATTTGTCCTTATTTGGTACAAAGAACCACAGGGACACAGGGGAGAAAAGTTCTCTTTTGTAATTGAATGGCTACAATTCATATAGAATCAGGATATGTGAGTTTCCATCTCTGCAGAGAGAAGATGTGATATTACCTAGGTCTGCTTTATTACTAGCTTGTAAAACCTGGCAGGGCATTAGATTATTTCATAGCCATTGCTCCCATTTGTCAGGTTAAGCTGTAAGCATTCATTCCAAAGAGCAGAAAAACAGAGAGGCTTCACAATATTAGCTGCAAGGAGAACACCAGTACAATTATCTCACCCGTAAGTGGAGATAATCTTATCAGCATGGGCTTGCAGATTCAGCATTTTCAATAAGTTGTTCACATAAAAGTTAATCTCGGTCTCAGAAATCCCCCACAACCTCGCATACATGATCATTAGTTCCCGAGCAGTCATGAAATTCAGCAAGGCATCAAACTGTGGACAATAGCCCATTTTTGACCTTACCTAAAATAAGAAAATAGCAACAGACATAAGTCAACTATCCCAGCGAACATACAGTAGATATGGGTGACACAGAAGACCTAAAGTTCTCCAGCTCATGTTTCTAAGAAGGTTTGATCCCCCACAGAGTTCTTGCAAAGAATTTCTTATCCTCCAGTGGTTAGAGAATTGCTGCATCTGAAGGCAATTACCATGTATTAGAACTCCACGTGTGCATAAGGTATGTGTCCAAGATAGATTTGTAGAAGATGAGGTTATCTCCCTATTACAGAGCAATAGTCAATCTATGAAATAAATGAAAAATAATTTTTTTTAATTTTTATTTCAGCATGTTATGGGGGTACAGATGATTAGGTTACATATGATGCCCTTTCCCTCCCTCCCCCACAAGTCCGAGCTTCAAGTGTGTCCATTCCCCCGGAGGTACACATCTCACTCATTAGTTAAAGCAGTGCACCCGTTTACAGAAGTATATTTACCCAAAGAAGGGGACTGAATAGGAAGAAGTTAGTCTACTATTGACTTAAGCTTTATTCCTTTTAAGACTAAAGAAAGCTCTGATGATTCTAAAAAAGTAAAAGAGATCTAAATTGGTAGTGTGAGGTCCAGTGCCAATAATTGGATGAATATTTTGAAGCTTGAAACCTTATTTTCTCTAATATGCCTGCATGAGTTCAGTCCCAAAGGATACCAGGGTATCAAAATCAAAGATTATCATAAATGGAGAGGCTGGATAGCAATACCTATGTTAAGTTCAATCACATCCTACTTCTTGGTAGTGATGATAGATGGATGGGCTATAAGTGGGGTCCCCCATCTCTCTATTATGTACAATATGGCTTTATGAGCATCATCTAAGATGCAGGTAGTGGAGGTGGGATCCTAGCTTACATTTTATGAGGACATTCCCCTGATATCAAAGCCAGACAAGAACACTACAGGAAAAGAAAATTATAGGCCAATATCCTGATGAACATCGATGTAAAAATCCTCAACAAAATACTAGCAAACTGAATTCAAAAGCACATTAAAAGGATCATTTGCCATGATCAAGTGGTATTTATCCCTGGGATCCAAGGATGGTCCAACCTATGCAAATAATGAATGTTATACACCACATGAACAGAATAAAGCACAAAAAACATACGATCATCTCAACAGATGCAGAAAAAGCATTTGACAAAATTCATTGTTCAAGATAAAAAGCTATCAACAAATTAGGTATAGAAGGAATGCACATCAACACAATAAAGGTCATATATGAAAACCCTACAGCTAACTTATACTCAATGGTAATAAGTTGAAAGCTTTTCATCTAAGATCAGGAACAGGATGACCATTCTTACCATTTCTATGAAACAGAATACTGGAAGTCATTGCCAAAGCAATTAAGTAAGAGGAAGAAATGAAAGTCATCCAAATCAGAAAGAAAGAAGCTAAATTGTCTCTCTTTGCAGAAAATGTGACATCACATATAGAAAACCCTAAAGACTCCACTCAAAACTATTAGAACTAATGAATGAATTCAGTGTTGTTGTGGGATGCAAAATCAACAGATAAAAATCAGTAACATTTCTATACACTTAACAATGAATCTGAAAAAGAAATTTTTAAAAATCCCATTTATAATAGATGTAAAAAAATTAAAATACTTAAGAATAAATTTGACCAAGGAGGTGAAAGCTCTGTACAATGAAAAGTATAAAACGTTGATAGAAGAAATTGAGACAATGCGGATAAATGGAAAGACGTCTCTTGAGTTCATGGACTGAAAGAATTAATACTGTTAAAATGTCCATACTACCCAAAGCAATTTACAAATTTGATGCAACCCCTATCAAAATCCCAATGACATTTTTCACAGAAATAGGAAAAAATTCTATAATTTGTATGGAACCACAAAAAACCCTAAATAGCCACAGCAATCTTGAGTAAAAAGAACTAAGCAGGAAGCATCAAATTACCTTATTTCAAAATCTACTACATAGCTATACCAATAAAAACAGCATAGTACTGCAATGAAGATAGATACATAGAACAATGCAACAGAATAGAGAACCAAGAAATAAATCTGTGTACTTACGGTCAATTGATTTTTGATGAAGATGCCACAAACAATCAGAAAAGGAAAGTCTCTTCAATAAACAGCTCTAGAAAAACTGGCTGTCTACATGCATAGGAATGAAATGATACCCTCATCTCACACCATATACAAAAATTAACTAAAAATAAATTAAAGACTTAAATGTAAAACCTGAAACTGTAGAACTACTAAAAGAAAACCTGGGGGAAATCTCCAAGACAGTCTTGGCAATGATTTTTTGGATATGACCCCCAAAGCACAGGAAACAAAAGCAAAAATAGACAAGTGGGTCTACATCCAATTCGTACATTCTTTCCTTTGCTACACAATAGAATGAAGATATAACCTCTAGAATGGGAGAAAACATTGGCAAATCATACATCTGATAAGGCATTAATGTCCAAAATATGTAAGGAACACAAACTGTTCAGTAGTAAGAAGACAAATAACCTGATTTAAAAAATAGTCAAATGATCTGAGTAAACATTTCTCACAAGTAGACACACAAATGACCAACAGGTATACGAAAAATATTTAACATCACTAATCATTAGGGAAATGCAAATTAAAACCACAATGAGGTATCACCTCACATCTGTTAGAATAGCTATGAAAAAGACAAAACATAATAAGTGTTGGTAATGATAGAGAGTAAGGGGAACCCTCCTTGTACAATGTTGGCGGGAATGTAAATTAGTACAGCCATCATGAAAAACAGTGTGGAGTTTCCTTAAAAAATTAGAAATAGAAACTACCATATGACTGAGCAATCCCACTATTGGGTATATACCCAAAGGAAATAAAATCAGTTTCTCAAAGAGATGTCTGCACTCCCAATTTTATTGAAGCACTAATCACAATAGCAAAGATATGGAATCAACCTGTGTCCATCAACTTATAAATGGATAATGAAAATAAGAAAATGTGATATGTATACACATATACATACACACACACATTATGTAAATGAATACACACAATGGAATACTATTCAACCTTACAAAAGAAGGAAACGCTTTCACTTGCAACAATATGGAAGGACCTAGAGGACAGTATGTTAAATGAAATAAGAGCCAGTCACAGAAAGATAAATACTGCATGATCTTACCTATATTTGGACTCTAAAAAAGTCAAACTCATAGGAGCAGAGAGTAGAATGGTAGTTACCAGAGGCTGTTGGTCAAAGGATACAAAATTTTAGTTAGGAAGGAGGAATAATTTCAAGAGATCTATCATACAATATGGTGACTCTAGTTAATAACAAGTGTATTGCATACTTGAAAATTGCTTAGAGAATATTTTAAGTGCTCTCCCCACAAAAAAATGACAATTATATGAGGTAACACATTTGTTCATCAGCTTGATTTACCTAAAGGCTTCTCATTTTTCCCTCTTCCCCTTAGGTGGGACGGGATGGCGAGAGTTGGCTGGTGTTGGGCATTTTCTTTCCCCTAGGTCATTTAGGCTCTGGTAAACCCTCATCAGGTTAGATTCTGGCTAAATAATTTCTCCTAAAGGCATACTTGTTAAGAAGAACAGAATAGTTCATATATTTCAAAATGGTTCCTTTACCTGTCCTCCTGCGGGTAATATGAGGAGATTTTTCTGTGATAATCTCTGTGAGAACCCGTAGAGCTCCAGGAGGTAAAACTCACAGAAGGATGGGGGCTACAAGATGACTGAGTCCCCGTGGATTTTTAACACTTGTTCGCACTGAGCCTCTAGCAATACATCGGTAACAGTTTAGGTTTTCCTACCCAGATACTGCTTTCCTCCAAAGTTTCTGCTCATCATTTTTCAGTCTCTCCAGTTTTGGAGGCAGTGGTTTGCCCTGTGACCTCACTTATCTTATGGATCTAAAAAGGGTTGTTTTTCAGTTTGTTCAGGTTTTTACTTGTTGTTAGGATGGAGCGGTGACTTCCAAGCTTCTTAAATACTGGCCTAGAAACCACAAGGCTAATTTATTTTTTGTAGCCCCAGCATCTTATCTGGCATATTTTAGAAGCATTGTTGAGAAAACTTGCCTTTCACTCCAATAGTTTCAAAGAACACAAAAGATATTCTTGACTTAGATTCTTAGAGTAGAGCTGCTTTTCTTGCCTTACCATCTTTCCTTAACAATTTATTTCTCTGTCTAGATTCCACTGGCTGAATTGACAGTATCAGTATCAACACCTACCATGATTCCTATCTACGATCTCCACTACTTGCCTCTTCCCCTGCACCCCCAAGTCATCATGCTTCTCACATCTCAGGTAGTAATAGTGTCATACCTTTAGCGTATTTTTAGTGATGCTACAGCCTTCAATGAACACATCCCCTGAGGTAGCCATCTCCCCTCCAGTCAAAATTTGAAAGGTTGTAGTTTTTCCAGCTCCATTTAATCCAAGCAATCCAAAGCACTCCTCCTTTTGGATTGCAAGGGAGATATTTCTTACAGCCACAATGGCTGGAACTGTAAAATATATCTTAAAAAATAAAGAAAACACAATATACATATACAATATATGTACATATAGTAAAGAATACTAATAGGTCAAACACAATCAATTCTCAAACTCCTATGGACCACACTACCTCAAAGAGTTTCACAAGAACTCTTCCAATCTACTGGGAGAATACTCATAGATCCCGAAGAACCACAGTAAACCCTTGGCATCAATGGCATGCTCTTAGGAGGGATGAAGCCAGCATATGTTAGCCATCGAATAATGTTACCTTCGTGAGTTCATTAATAAGCACTGGGGAATTCAGCAACTCCCGAGGCTGCTCCAGGACTCTCTCTCTTTCATTTTGTACATCTTCATCTTCAGATACTCCAGATAATTTCAGGGATAATTTATCCTATATTTTCAAGATAAAAATCATAGAGGCAGATGACCTTCAGACATCGGGTGGCTTCTGGAAGGGCAAACTGGAGAATAATTTTAAAGACGTCCAAACAGAAGGTTTGAATCACCTCCAAGAGACTTAGTGCATATGACCTCAGCTCTCCTATACAAACTTATTCTGTATTTCCAAAGTTTAGAAACTGGGCTCCTAGCCATAAGCAAACTGCATATTTTTATTAAAATGGATACCACAAAAACTGCAACCATGACAAATACCATTAATAATGATAAAATGTTATTTGTTAATAATAAAGTATATTCTAGACAATACCAGTAGAGTTGAGAGTAGACAAAAGATTAACTCATTCTTTTCTGAAAGAGAGAAAACCACAAACAACTTCATGTAGAAAATATCTGAGCTGAATTTAAAAAAAAAATAAATAGAAGTTCATCCGGAGAGACACAGGAGCGAGATGGCAAACCAGAGATACCATCTGCCAGAGCATCTCAGTAAGAAGAAGTTTTAGAAGAAAGAGAAAAAACAGACAGACAAACATAGATCAGATGAGGGTCGGAAGGAAGGGTGCCGGAACCTGCAGGAAACTCCATGAGAAGAGGTTGCAGAGAAGCACTGGAAGGAGAAAGACATTGGTGAAGATTATCCCTGAGAGGCTTGGAGACCAGCAAAAAGGGTAGGTGGAGCAGTTAGTTTATCCCTCCCTCACATCTGGGACTGATGGTGGGTTCCTGAGCTCCTGGAGAGACCTTCTGCACATACGAGCCCAGAGTCTGCTGCCAGTGAGCTGAGAGCTTCTTGTGGACAGGGCACCAGGCTCCCAGCCTCACCAGGGCACCCACCGTCCCACAGACCAGAGCCAGATGGCAGGCACCATATTGCTTCTTTACCCATCATGTACCTTTGTCCTCCCCAGGGGGCTTCAACTCCTCAGGTTCCATCTTGCTTATCCCCACACAAACATTTCCCAACTCCAGCCCAGACTGCAGGAGCCACAGGAGTCCCGTGGGTCCCAGGTGATCTGCGTGACTCCGGAGCCCAGTCGTTCTGGGCAGACTGCCTCCTGGAGAGAAGGTTGGAGGAGACAACCAGAGTGAGGACTTTCGTCCACCCAGACTCTTTTTCTCCCCTTCCCCTCCCCCACCTACAGCTGCCTACAGAGAGACAATTGAGCTGCCACACAGAGGCTTCCACAGGGAGCGGGCTCAGACCTTTCCTTTTGGGGTCCTGCAGCAGACTGAGGGTGAAGAAGAAAATACACAAGGGTTGGAAACCTATTTGAGGGAATAATTGAGGAAAATGTCCCTGGCCTTGCTAGAAATCTAGATATCCAGGTACAAGAAGCTCAAAGGACTCCTGGAAGATTCATCACAAAAAGAAAACACCATGACACATAGTCATCAGACTGGCCAAAATAAACATGAAAGAGGCCCTCCTATGAATCGGAAGGCAAAAGTATCAGATAACTTACAAAGGAAAAGCCATCAAACTAACTGCAGACTTGTCAACCAAGACCTTACAAGCCAAAGGGATTGGGGCCCCATTCTCAGCCTTCTCAAAGAGAATAATGCCCAGCCTAGAATTTTGTATCCTGCAAAGCTGAGCTTCTTATATGAGGGAGAAATAAAGACTTTCTCAGAGAAGCAGGTACTGAGGGAGTATGTCAAGACAAGACCTGTCCTGCAGGAAGTACTCAGAAGTGCATTATACACAGATCAGCACAAAAGACATTCACCAGTGTAAAATCACCCAACAGCTAAAGATCAAAGCCCAGATACCACAATGGCTCAAGAGGTAAAACAAAGCAATAAAATATATAATGTCCTGACTGATAGAGGTCACAACGTTTAGAAACCACAAAGCTCAGATTACGATAAAGATCTCAGATTCATAGATCCTAGTCAACATGGATTAATTTATTTTACTATATTCAGTAATGGAGTTAGGCATGTGCAGACACATGCTTTTGGTTTTAGAGTTGTCTTTAAGGTCCATGCTTAGCTACTCACCTTATTAAATTTCCTGTAGATTCCAAAGAAAATACAGCGAAACACAAAGATTCTCACTCTCCATAAGTTGGTCTCCAGAAGAAGAATCAACAGGATGAAAACAAATCCTTCAGCAGCCATTGCAATTACATGCCGTCCAATCACATATTCTTGCAGACTATATATTTCACA